AGACTGGTTTAGTTCAACACAAAATAAACACAGGTGAAGAGTTGCCTATCCGTCAGCGGCCAAGACGATTGCCGGTAGCACGTGAAAAGGAAGTGGAAACCATGATTGAGGGAATGGTGAGGGATGGTGTTATTGAACCTTCATCTAGTCCATGGTGTTCACCCGTGGTACTGGTAAAGAAGAAGGATGGCAGCATGCGGTTCTGTGTTGATTACCGCCGTCTGAACGACGTTACAAAGAAGGACAGCTATCCCTTGCCAAGAATTGATGACACGCTGGACATGCTTACAGGAGTAAAATGGTTTAGCACGCTGGATCTAAAAAGTGGCTACTGGCAAGTTGAAATTGACCCTAAGGACAAGGAGAAAACTGCGTTCTCGACGGGAAAGGGTCTGTGGCAATTCAAAGTAATGCCGTTTGGGTTGTGCAATGCTCCAGCAACGTTTGAAAGGCTGATGGAACTTGTACTTACCGGGCTAATTGGCGATGCCTGTCTGGTCTACTTGGATGACATCATCATCGTGGGCCGTACGTTTGAGGAACACCTTCAAAACCTGGAACGCGTGCTCATGAAGATTAAGAGTGCCAACCTTAAGTTGAGTCCGAAGAAATGTTCACTATTCAAACGGCAAGTCAACTTTTTGGGGTATGTAGTGTCGGAAGAAGGTATCCGAACGGATCCAGAGAAAATCGCAGCTGTAAAGGATTGGCCGGTTCCAAAAGACAAGACGCAGGTTAGAGCATTTTTGGGTTTGTGCTCCTATTACCGACGTTTTGTGAAGAACTTTGCAGATATAGCCAAACCTCTGCATAAGCTAACCGAGGAGAAGCGACATTTCTGCTGGGATGAAAGTTGTAACATCGCATTCCAGGAGCTCAAGGACCATCTGTGCAAAACACCTATTTTGGGATACCCTGATGCAAGCAAAGAATTTATAGTTGACACAGACGCAAGTGATATAGGACTTGGCGGTGTGTTGTCTCAACGGAATGGTGACCAAGAGGTCGTGATAGCGTACTTCAGCAAGTCGTTGTCAAAACCGGAAAGGAACTACTGTGTCACAAGACGCGAATTGCTAGCTGTGGTAAAGTCGCTGCAACATTTTAGCAAATATCTTCTGGGACGAAAATTTCACTTACGAACTGACCATGCTGCACTAAAATGGCTATTGCAGTTCAAAAACCCAGAAGGACAAGTTGCGACGTGGATTGAACTACTGCAGGAATACGACTTTGAGATCGAACATCGCAGCGGGAAATCTCATGGCAACGCAGATGCATTGTCAAGAAGACCTTGTCCTGAAGATTGCAAACATTGTACTAGGCAAGAGAGTAAGGAAGTGGTATCCGTGAGGATGCTCAGGGCGGACCACCTCCGCAACGAGTGGAAGGACAGCTTACTACATGCCCAGCAGGAAGATCCGGACATCAAGCCGATTCTGGAATGGATAAAGGCCAGTGCTCCCAAGCCCAAGTGGAGTGACGTCTCAGCGATGAGTTCGACCACTAAAAGCTATTGGGCCCAGTGGGCCAGCTTGCTGCTTCAGGATGGAGTTCTGTGTCGTAAATGGGAAAACGTTCGGGGAGACAGCTGTCATTTGCAAATGGTTGTCCCTAAAGTTAAAGTACCGGATGTTCTACAGCTGTACCATAATGATTGTTCAGGAGGCCATCTGGGAGTTAAACGAACTCTACTGAAGATCCGAGAACGGTTTTACTGGGTCCACTGTCGAAACGATGTCGAGGACTGGTGTCGTAAATGTACAAGTTGTGCGGCTGTAAAGGGACCTCAGACTCGTAGTAGAGGTGCATTGAAGTTGTACAATGTTGGTGCACCATGGGAGAGAATAGCCATTGACGTGGCGGGGCCGTTTCCGGAGAGTGAAAGCGGTAACAAGTATTTCATGGTTGTGATGGATTACTTCACTAAGTGGCCAGAAGTCTTCGCCATTCCAAATCAAGAAGCTTCAACAGTTGCAGATAAACTAGTTCATGAAGTCTTCTGTCGTTTTGGAGTACCTTTAGAGATTCACAGCGATCAAGGAAGGAATTTTGAGTCTCAAATATTCCAGGAAACTTGCCGAGTTATGGGTACTCATAAAACAAGAACGACTTCTTATCACCCGCAATCTGATGGAATGGTGGAACGATTTAATCAGACATTGGAGAGGTACCTAGCAAAAGTTGTAGACAATCGGCAACGAGATTGGGACAAGCACATACAACCGTTTTTGTTGTCATATCGAAGTTCTGTTCACGAAAGTACAGCCACAGCTTTCGCAAACTTTGGAAGAGAATTACGGCTGCCTGCAGACCTGATCACCGGGATACCACCCGATGCTCCACGCAGTATAACCGATTATGCAAATGACTTGCGGAAAAAAATGAATGACGTTTATGAGCACGTCAGACAATCGGGCCAGCAAATGTCTGAAAAGATGAAAACCCGGTATGACCGCAAAATGAACAACAAAGGGTTCGACGAAGGTTCACTTGTGTGGTTGCACAATCCAGTCCGCAGCAAAGGGAAATCTCCTAAGCTTCAAGCTAAATGGGACGGCCCGTACCGGATTGTAACCAGGATCAACGATGTGACCTACCGGATACAGAAAGGCGCAAGAGGGACTCCTAAGATCGTCCATGTGGATCGCTTGGCGCGTTATTATGGGACCGATAATGCTCGGGACGAGCATGTCTTAGGAGGGGGCAGTGTTGCATGAATAAGTCAACTAGCGCCATCTAGTGTCAGGAACGAGAGCGAGGGGAGCATTGAGAAAATGACATCACAAATCGCTCAACTGACAGCGCCTAGTCGAAACTCGAACGCTCGGTACCTTCCGCGTGTTTACTTGAACATTCTGGATATTTCTTTGCTAATTTAAATATATAGGCGCTGCAAGATGCGATGGAGGCAGTGTTGATTTGGGCGAAACAAGCGAAGCTTCGGAGTGGAATTAAGTGAATTAGTGTGTTTAAATTATTAGTGTTTTAACTTTAATTGTGTAAAGTAAATTAAAGTGTTAATTTAGGTAATTTTATCGGCAATTTTTATTGTCACGAACCTCAAGCTCGTAACAATAATGATTGTTCAGGAGGCCATCTGGGAGTTAAACGAACTCTACTGAAAATCCGAGAACGGTTTTACTGGGTCCACTGTCGAAACGATGTCGAGGACTGGTGTCACAAATGTACAAGTTGTGAGACTGTAAAGGGACCTCAGACTCGTAGTAGAGGTGCATTGAAGTTGTACAATGTTGGTGTATTTACTTGAATATTCTGGATGTTTCGGTCGGTGAAAAGGTGTATTTAAAGGCGCTGCAACACGCGATCGGGTCAGTATTGAATTTGGCGAGACAAGCGAAGCTTCGGGGCGTAATAAAGTGAATCAGTGTGATTAATTATTAGTGTTTTAATTTTTAATTGGTGTTCGGTAATAAAAGTGTAAAATTTGGTAATTATTAAATAAGAACCACAAACTCGTAACAATATGTAATAATTCAATGGGTGGGATTATACAAGAATCGTTTCGTTAAAGTGTATGTGATTTTATTTTTTGTTTTCTATGATTAATATTTCAAGGGGGTAAAGCCAATAATATGAATATGATTCAGTTCGATACGTTCCTAATTCTTGAGAGTGAGAGTGATTTTTTTTTTTGCTTTGTGTGGCCGATAACTGTGCCAATTTCTGGCCAATAATTGTAAATATGTCGCCAACTACTGTAAAGATGATTGTGTTTTTGATTTGATTTTATTACGAAAATATAAGAAATAAAAATACGTAAAGAATATTATTTGATTTATATACATGATGAGAATATAATTAAAATATTTTTACTCAAAACTATCAATTTTTTATTTTATTTTTTACAATTGAAGTTATAATGTAACTTAACAGGCCTATAATTATACCGTTTCCTCTATTACTTTAATAGGTAATATAGGATATAGACTAAAACGAATAGGCTGGCTGCATGGAGTATAGAGGTAAGGAGGACAATCTCCCATAGGAGAATAGTTGAAAATGTGTCCATCTGTAAGCAGTAAAAATAACAGTTTAAAAACTCTCCACAACAGCGCTCGAGTAGCTACAGTTGAGAGTGATTTTGAAAATAAATATTTTGAAAGCAATAAAATAATTATTGTAAAAAAAATTATGGTGAAAGTCTGTGCAATAAAAAAATATAAGTTCTTTAAAATTTTGACTGTAGCTACAGTGGCGCCACCCTTATTTAGCGCTTTCCTACGGACACTTTTTCATACACAGTCTGTACATGGCTGCTTTTGATAATATCAAAGAGGAACATGCTTAATAATCGTTTAATAATCATATTATTTCAAAAAGTTGATATAATATAATTATTAAACTACTATTACTACTACTAATGTTACTATACTACTATATACTAATATAACTATATGTTATATATACTAATATAACTATATGTTATATACTAATATAACTAGTAATGTAGTTAGTAATAATATTTTTTTGTATAATTTTAGAAGTTAACGATATTAAAATGTGTTGCCTTTAGTGGCAGTCTTTCCTATATTCATCAGTGAGCTTTTGATAGGGTGTTATGAAATGGAAAATTTTATTGTATACAATAAATATCATAATGAAATTAAAAAGAAACTATAAATTTAATGAGGAATGTAGTTTTTTGGAAACGTTCTATTTATATTTTATGATTCTTGAAGGAAATGCAGTATTAGATCCGTTTACTGTACCAATCGCTCCACAAAAAAGAAGTTCAAGTTCGCTCATTATCATATTCATCTGTCAGCACTGATCACGAAAGAAAAGATACAATTTTTGTAGTTGGTTATAACGCATTGTAAATACCAAGTAAATGGCAACATTCTTTGTTTATGAAAAGTGAAAACGTCATGTATTTTTTTATTCATAAAATCCAAGTCCAGTCCAGCAAACATTGTTCTTTGTTATGTGTTTTGAACATAGAATATTGTAGTTTGTTTAGTTAGTAAATAAGGAAAATGGCTGACTTCGATGCAATATACCCAGATGAGACTGAAAGTGAGGAAAATATAGAAGAAACACATGTGACGTTAGTGCCTGACCCGATCGTCGTTCGTGGAGCTGGTAACATGACAGTGTAAGGTTTATTTTATCAGCTGTTAAGGAGTATTGAATTGACCTCAAGTTTTCTAGCCAAAATATATATGTTCAGAGAAAATTCAAATAAGTTGTGTTTCCTTATTGACATTGGTCCGTGGCATTGAAGCTTTTGTTGGACGAAGGACATTGACCAGTAGCCAATTTATGAAAATTAATAGGGCACTTAATTGCTCTGTAGCTAAAGTAATACAAATGCTTGATTTTGTTTTGCACTACATTTTGAAGGTCCTGTCATTATTTGATAAAAGTGTCGAGAAACCTAACTACTTATAATAGAAAGCTTTAAAAATATAGCAAACATTGTAAAACAACCTGTGTTTTTAAATCTTAAAATATCAATATAATATGAAAGTATACAATTAAGATAAAATATGATGCACACAATCCAGTAAATGTAGAGGTCAAGAGTCACACACTGTCATAGTTATTACAAATAAATTAATTTGTTATCAGGAAATGGCTTGTTTCCCTGGAATAATTTAAAATTATATAAGTTAACCCTTTGACAATATTTAAGAGTACTTGTTCAATGCTGTTTGGCTTTTATGTTGTTTCTTTTAATTTCAACTATATATATATATATATATATATATATATATCTTAATATATATAAATTAAATAAATTACGTGTCACATTATTGGTACGCGATGGACTCGTAAGCTACTTAACTGATTTTAATGAAATTTGTACACGGTGTGCAGTTTGGTCCAACTTGAGAGATAGGATAGTTTTCTTGCCCATGAGTGACCCACAATATTTTTTTTTGCGGATTGAAGGATTTTTAATAGGACATGTCAAAGTGTCGTCGAAAAGGGCAGAACAACGTCTGCCTGGCAAGCTAGTATATATATAATAACAATGTTGCTATTTTATACTGGTATCCTGTAAGAGTGTGTTTCTTCTCCAGTCTAGCCAAAACATTCATGCTAAAACTATACTATTAATGTAGCTGCAGCATGGCTTTACCAAATATAAAATATAACACTTAATACTTAAAACATACTAATTTTTTGCACGAGTCACAGCTAAAAAATGTCCTTACAGTCAATAATGAATTATTAATTTCTGTTTTCAGTTTTGGTTTAAGCAATCGCTTCAACAATGAGTTCCCATCGGGTCTTCAGTCTCGAGTAGCTCCTGAGGAATATCAGGCAACTATAGCTCGAATTAACAGTGTGTTAAAGAAGACATTACCAGTGAATGTGAAATGGTTATTCTGTGGCTGTGTTTGCTGTTGTTGTACACTTGGATGCTCTCTTTGGCCGGTCATATGTCTAAGTAAAAGGGTAAGTAATAAATTGTGAAGCTTTGGTTTCACTCATTCATTACGACATTTCTAAGTATATATATATATATTCACTGCTGAACATAGGCCTCTCCCATTAATTGCATCATAGAAACATAGTTACTACGGATGATGGGCAGGTTGGCAACCAGTTTTTTTTTTTTATTATTTTCTGTTGTTATTAGAAAAAGTACCAGCTTCCCTTTATCAGCTCTTATGAAACCCACGGGATGATAATGGGGAAATAGGTATTCACCTTCACCGTGTCAGGGACTACTTAAAACAGAGCTAAATCTATGTGAATATAACTTCAATCAATTTTTCTTAAATTGCTATTACCTATTATTGCTGTATAACTTACTTTATTTTTGTAAAACATTAAGTTGCTATTATTGATATGAGGCAAACTTTTGGTGGAGCCATGCTGCAGCTATATTAGTAGTATACTTGTAGTATGAATGGGTCGGCTTAACCAGGAAACGACCAAAATAGCAACTCAATGCTGGTGTTTCGATATAGTGAGTGTAGAGATCCAAAGATCCCTTTTCCTGGAAACGAGGCCCCAACTTAGGCCTCATGGGTGACTACACATCTGCATCTTGATTTGTAGTGGAGGATACATGTCTATCAGATGTCTATGGGCCACAGCAACAGTGGACTGTGTGCTCATTTGTCACCCTGATCCTATAAAAAAACCACAACACCTATTAAAGATAGTTATAAAAATTCCATAACAGTAATAATATGTCTATAAAGTGAGCTATTTGGTTAATGTAGGTATGTATGTACCTACATTAGGTATGTATATTAAGTCATTATTGTATTGTTGCGTGAATAAGTCAACGTCATACACTAGCACCATCGTGTAATTTATCAGGAACGAGAGCGAGGGGAGCTTTGCAGAAAATGACATCACAAATCTTTCAATCGACAACGCCATCTAGTCTCAAACCGAAGAACTAAGTTTCTAGAAAATCTACACTCGAACACTCGTCGCTTTGCGCGCATTTACTTGAATATTCCGGATGCTTCATTGCTAATTTGTATATAAAGGCGCTGCAAGATGCGATCGGGGCAGTATTAGATTTGGAGAGACAAGCGAAGCTTCGGAGCGGAATAAAGTGAATTAGTGTGTTTAATTATTAGTGTTTTAAGTTTTAATTTGTGTAAAGTAAATTAAAGTGTTAATTTAGGTAATTTTATCGGCAATTTTTATTGTCACGAACCTCAAGCTCGTAACAATTGGTATCAGAAGTGGGATAAAATTATGCCGATTTTACCTAAGGAGGAAACGGAGGGTGTCCGTACCAGAAGTCAACGCCAGCAGGAGACGGACCAAAGAAGATTTGGTGGTGCAACGCCGCAGACGTCGGAGGGCCAGCTGCCGGCGGCAGGCCCGTCAGTAGCTCCTACATCTGCAACACCTGACTTAGGTGCTCTGATGGCGATGCTACAGGAGCAGCTGCAGCGCGGACGAGAGGAACAGGCCCGTCGGTTGGAAGAGCAGATGCTCCTCATGAAGGACCTTCACGCTACCTTCGGGAAGGAGATAAAGGAGGTGAAGGATAGGGTTGCTCAGCATGAGAACCGCCTGGCAGAAGCTGAAACCCAAATCGCGAAAGCTTAAACCCGAATCGAGAAAGCTGAAACCCGAATCGACCAAGTGAACAATCGGGTTGACAATGTAATGGCTGACATGAAGAAATCACTGGACGAACTCAAACTTGGGGATGGAACTACAGCTCCCATAGTAGCTACTACACCTTCGCTACGTGGGTTCAAGGTGCCACCGTTCGACGGGACTTCTTCCTGGTCAGCCTACAAAATCCAGTTCGAGGCTGTTATGAAAGCAAACGGCTGGAATAAAAGTCAGGACATGACTGCTCTCACACTAGGCCTGCGCGACCAGGCCTTAACAGTTCTGGAAGCTCTCGGTGAGGAAGTGACTTATGAGCAACTCCTTGAGGCATTTGAGGCGAGATATGGCGACGCTCACCTGGAACACGTCTTTCGTGCGCAGCTTAAAGATTGCGTGCAGCGCATCAACGAAAACCTGCAGCAGTGGGCTCTAGAGGTGGAGAAGCTGGTGCGAAAAGCATACCGGTCTGTACCTGCGCTCATTGAAGGGAACCTGGTGCAGACATTCATCGACGGTATCCGCGACCTGGAAGTCAGAGCTGCTGTGAGGCTCGGGCACCACGAGACGCTTAAGGACGCCTTGGCCCATGCACTGGAAGTGGAAGCCGTGCGACAGGATCATCGTTCCCATCGCGTCAGGGAGGTTGCAGCAGCTACAGTTCGCGACCGCAACAAAGGATACAGCCCAAGGTGCTATGGCTGTGGGGAAAGGGGCCATCTTCGGTCCAGCTGCCCTAAGTACACCCTAGGAAGGGAAGGTGAACGGTCTCAGAAAGGAAGTGCGGCTAACAGCACCGCCCAGCAGCAGCAGGAATACGACTTTACTATCAGACACTGCAGCGGGAAATCTCACGGCAATGCAGATGCATTGTCAAGAAGACCTTGTCCTGAAGATTGCAAACATTGTAGTAGGCAAGAGAGTAAGGAAGTGGTATCCGTGAGGATGCTCAGGACAGACCACCTCAGCAACGGGTGGAAGGACAGTCTACGACATGCACAGCAGGAATATCCGGACATCAAGCCGATTCTGGGATGGATGAAGGCCCGTGCTACCAAGCCTAAGTGGAGGGACGTCTCAGCGATGAGTTCAACCACGAAAAGCTTTTGGGCCCAATGGGACAGCTTGCTGCTTCAGGATGGAGTCCTGTGCCGTAAATGGGACAATGGTCGAGGAGACAGCTGTCGTTTGCAAATGGTTGTCCCTAAAGCTAAAGTGCCGAATGTTCTACAGCTGTGCCATAATGGTCGTTCAAGAGTCCATCTGGGAGTTAAACGAACTTTACCGAAGGTTCGAGAACAGTTTTACTGGGTCCATTATCGTGACGATGTCGAGGATTGGTGTCGTACATGTACAAGTTGTGCGGCTGTGAGGGGACTTCAGACACGGAGTAGAGGAGCATTGAAATTGTACAATGTTGGTGCACCACGGGATAGGACATCCCTTGACATTGCGGAGCCGTTACTGAAAGGCGCAAGAGGGACTCCTAAGATCGTCCATGTGGATCGCTTGGCGCGTTATTATGGGACCGATAATGCTCGGGACGGGCATGTCTTAGGAGGGGGCAGTGTTGCGTGAATAAGTCAACGTCATACACTAGCGCCATCGTGTAATTTATCAGGAACGAGAGCGAGGGGAGCTTTGCAGAAAATGACATCACAAATCTTTCAATCGACAGCGCCATCTAGTCTCAAACCGAAGAACTAAGTTTCTAGAAAATCTACACTCGAACACTCGTCGCTTTGCGCGCATTTACTTGAATATTCCGGATGCTTCATTGCTAATTTGTATATATAGGCGCTGCAAGATGCGATCGGGGCAGTATTAGATTTGGAGAGACAAGCGAAGCTTCGGAGCGGAATGAAGTGAATTAGTGTGTTTAATTATTAGTGTTTTAAGTTTTAATTTGTGTAAAGTAAATTAAAGTGTTAATTTAGGTAATTTTATCGGCAATTTTTATTGTCACGAACCTCAAGCTCCAACCCACATAGTAAGTGGCAGTAGCTTAATGGTTAAGGGTGGTGGTGAAAGTTGTGGGTTTGAATCTGCCATTGGACTATTGTTGCAAACCACTCCTAATACAAGCATTTTAAGATTCTTTAACGGGAGTGTTAGTAATTTTAAAAGTGTTACTAGTGTAATTGTGTCATTTAGATTATGAAATAGTGAGTTATCAAGGTGCTTGTCCCACCACCAATGATGAACGAAAAGAGCTAGAAACAGATAAAAGTTGGCGAACAGCGAGAAGCTAGTGTATAGTTCTAAAAGTTTTCTTGCTGGACTATAAGTGATTGTACTAGTTGTTCTAAATGCAAAGTAAATGCGTGCACTCAGATCTGCTCTGTAGAATATAATGTTCATTCTGACTGGCAAGCGAGCATTGCTGAGTGACTTATCTTTGATAGCTCTTATCTCTGCAAAAACTTAGTGGAGAGAGTTCTCGTCGACAATATGAACGGCAATCAACTATTAATATATATATATATATATATATATATATATATACACACAGGTTGTTAGTGTAAACACCGTTAACCTTGAAACCAGTGGTTTGGTTTCACTTATAGAACGAAACTTCAAAGAAATATAACATTTATTTTTTAAGTAAAATCTTAATTTTTCCTTAATTCCTCAATTTTTGCCCTATTATAACCTAAAAATGGATAAAACATGGAAAAACTAATACAATATTACTGTAAAAGCTGGATATCATACATAGTTTTGTATAAATGCGACAAGGATGTAAGCCCATGTCAAAGACTAGTGTCGCATTATTATACTTCTATGGTATTTTTATTCTTCTGTGCTTTATAGTCTCATAATAAATCATGTTTACAAACAATAAAGAAATAATTATTATATACTTTACACCCAGAAATCCTTCCTTCTTCAGTTAGGTTAAAATGACAAAAAAAATAGATTTTGTTTTTTTACCGCCCACAAATACATGAGCAAACACCACATTCCATTCCATATATCATTTTGAGGTTAGGTCTATGGGATTTTCTTTTTAATTTTTCTCAAGAACACTGTATTACATTTTCATGGGAGTGGTGTCGGGTTGTAGGGAACACCCCTCTTCCCCCACTTTCAACCCCTTCCTGCCAAAACTTTTCTATTTCTTTACCTTTTAAATCCTTTTACTAGGGGGATAGGCCTTTGTTTTAACACCATCCTAATTTGTAGCGCAAGTACTTGCTACCAGATCCACTGGACCCAGTAGAATATCATAAATTTATTAAAACAAATACTAATATTTTTTGTTTTTACTTAAACAAAAGCTGTTACAAAAATATTCTAAATTTCTCCATATTTTTGTGACATGTTTTAGGCTAAACATTATAATTTCTATAGTTTCTTATTTCTAGCAAAATCGTTATTCTCTAACACAATAATGCACTTACTTATACGTAATAAAGGGGGATCAATCATCATCAAAGAAATAAAATCACACTGTTCAACTACTGACACTATTTAAACTAACCGACTACCAACGTCTTTATTTGCCGTGCTACACGAGCGTTGAAAGGTACTAAGAGCGGCAACATTGCAAGCGTCGAATTTTTATAGTTGTTAAGCAAATATTAAGGACTGGGTCCGTTGGATCCATTAACAACTTCCTTAAGTTTTAACTGTAGACTGTTTATAATGAATTATTATTGTTATATGCAATGTAGTTCACCATTATATTAAACTTAGTTACGAAATGAGGTTAGACAAATAAAATAGTTATTAAGTTTTGTCCTGTATTATTCTTCCTTTACATCAGTCTGTAAATCATTTTAGGATGTGGGCTTCTTTATAAATAGTCAGAATTTACAGTAATTGCCATTTTTGACTAGCAGATTGGCAATCACAGTACCAAACACCTTGCACCTTCGAGTAATTCTCTCATTTTTTTCATGTGGTGAAATGGTATTATCAACATTATGTCAGACTGAGGCCACAAGATTTTTAGACATTTAGTAAAGCCACTTCTTACCACACCTAAAGGCTGAAATGATGAATTCTCTTATGCTTAAATTACATGGCTGTCTAGTATTCTTGCCCATAAATTATTATTATTTTTTTCTAAATTTTGTTATAATGTTTTTTCAGACACAACACTCACTTAACAAGCTTTTGGAATGGGAGAACAGTCGACTTTACAATAAACTGGGTTTACGTTGGCGTCTAACAAAACAGCACTGTGACTCTTCTTCCATGATGGAATATGTACTTCTTATAGAATTTATACCCAAAATACCAATATATAGGCCTGATTAAGCAGCACAAACAATGGTATTTGTAAATAAAACATTTTTACCTAGCTATTAGAATACATACAAGATAGTTTTGACACAACTAACAACGGTAAAGATATAAACAAGCTGAATGTACTATGTACAATTTATACATAAGGAGATCTATAAAATTTGCATAATCACTCATTGAATAGCACTGTATATTGTATATAGCAGAAAAGTGATTTAGTAGGTGGTATTATTACATGCTTTTTGTGTATAGACGTCGCCATTTGAATATTGCAAGCAACAATTCCATTAAGGACATCCCTATACATTAAGAATTTGCAATACATCCAATAATTATTAAGAACGCATTGTTGTTATCATTAGTACATAGTCTTTCTAAATTAAAAAGTGGCTGGTAGATAACTGAACTGAAGAATTTAGTATTTTTATTATGTTGCAAGTGTAAATATTTCAATGTGGTTTACCTAATTATTCTTCATTTTCTTTTATAAGCATTGCTTCAGATAAACTTTTATCTGAGAGTTTATGTTAACTGCTTGCTGCTTTATAAAAGCACAATTCGATTATCTTAATTTCATCGACAAATCTTTTTCAATTTATTTATTCTAGCTGCATCACATCAGCTTACTCAATCTGGGGATTAAATCCTTATTAGTCATTTATTGCGTACATAACAGTTAAGACACCAAGAGATCTTATTGTTTTACCATCTAGTTAATCTCAGTTACAACCTCAATCTTTACTTATCGAACAATATTTATTACCTTTTCAATCCGAAAACATTTTTACTTATGTATGTTTTTGTATAACATGTACCTGAATGTCGACTTTACTTTTGATGTAAGATTTTGAAGAAGTAATAATATGTATCAACTTATTCTGCAAAATTATGATAGAGGAACCTTTCGGGACTGTGTTACTAGGAAATTAATTTTTGTAGTAGATATTTTACATTAGTTCTTGCCCTCTTTTCCCTTTTCAACATGTTGTGAACGAAAATTTCATGTGGATAGACGCTGCCATTGCAGTTTATATATCTCAAAATTTCTTTTATTCAATTACTGTTAAGTATTAACAAAGGTCTTGTCTTGCCACCGCAATGTTTTTGTTGAAAACAACGGTTGAAAAGCGAACAGGGTATGATGTTGACATTAAGTTATAATTTAAGTGAATGTAAATATTTTAAGTACCTATAATATAGATTATTATGTTCAAATAATAAAACTCACTATGTGATAATACGGGTATTTCTGTTATTTCATCATAAAACTGTGCTATCTCCAGTCCTTGACAAGGTAAGAATGGGGCTATGCAAGAGCATTCAGCCTGTTCATCAATTATTTTTCATAGAATGTCTATACAAATAAATACTAAGATCCTACAAAAATATAAAGTGATCTGATAGTGCGAGTGGGTTTAGATGAATTTAAAATTCTATAAACAAACATATATTTTTCTAATTTGGTTGCAATAGTGAACACGTAAGACTTAAAACGGTAAAAGTTTAACATGTTTTTTACACATGGTCGGTCCAGAAAAATCGCTGGTGGAAGCCGATTCTACAAGAAAATTATGCGTGAAATAAAACTTCTGGTAAATCGCACAATGGTGAACCGCCAAATATCCTGATGGTATGGATGGTATTGCTACTTTTGTCACGACGTGCGATGGTGAAATTTAGCAACTTAGTCTGAACAATTCCTCTGAGCACTCCCCGTGGTAGATGCGATAGAATATATAAAGGGATGCAATCTCTTCGTAGCGCCAATAAATCAACCCGATCAGAAAAAACTCGATCGTTGACGATCCAAGCCGCTCTGCGCTGAATGCGGTCCAGTAGAAGCAGCTGGCACTGGGGTGCCCTAGGAGAACAGTATTCCACGTGAAGCCGCACCTGCGTCTTTTAAAGTTGCAAGCGGAGTGCCGGCATGAAACACTGTCCCGCTCTACAAAGCATGCTAAGTATGGAGTGTAGAGGTAAGGAGTACAGACTCTGTATAAAAAAGTTTCCGTAGGAAAGCGCTAAATAGGTGGCGCTACTTTAGTTACAATCTAAATTTTAAAATACTTTTTATAATTTTTTATTGCACAAACTCACCATAATTCTTTTTACAATAATTATTTTATTGCTTCCAAAGTTTTTATTTTCAAAATCACTTGTATTTCGTAATCAACTTATTTCACGGCGATTTATCATACCCTGTAGCTACTCGAGCACTGTTGCGGAAAGTTTTTGAACTGTTATTTACTGCTTACAGAAGGACACATTTTCAACTATTCTCCTATGGGAGATTGTCCTCCTTACCTCTATACTCCATGATGCTAAGCTTATAAGAGGCCATTTTGCTTTTTCCTTCCAGGTGACCATGGAACTGAACGTCATTCAATATATCGACGCCGAGATATTTGATGATGGCTGTAGCCGTAAGGGGAGTGCCCCGAAATTGAGAAACGACAAAGGGGTTCTCTTAGCGGTGAGCGCGCAAACTTGTGTCTGCTGGGGATTGATTGAACTGGACTAGATTTAGTCGCCCCCAATCCAAAACTAATAATATAAAAACTAAATATACTACTACTATACTGCTAATATTTAATTAGCTTTTTATAGTGTAAATTATAATATTTGTCGAAATGTTAATTATGGATTCGAACTTTACAGGCTAATGGTGTGCTTCATTTTTGTTATTTTCATTTACTTACATACTGAAAATATACTTGAATAATAGGTATTATTATTTTATTTAGCTACTGAATTTTAGGATATGTTTTACCTTGAGGTCAAATATAATTTTGAGGAGCAATAGTTATTACTAATCTTTTATCTGCTATTCCTTATTTAGGAACAATATTAGTAAATTGAGTTTGAGGGAGATTTACTGTTTATAATGCTACATTTATTACTTTAATATTTACCTACTGGGTAGGTATTAGTAACTAAATAGATATTTTTTACCCAATTACAATAACTAATGTGGATTTGTGATTAGTAATACTGGGTGGGTATTAATTAATAGAACAAAATAAAATATAAAGTCAATTTTATTATCTTGAATGTAAGAAATTGATTACATATTTTTTAACTTCCTTAAATTATAAACAAACAGCTGCAGCTATTAAATGAACATATTATGCGCATACATACGCCCATATATATGTGGTTATGTATATATATGTATACATATTTTAAATTACATTTAGATACAAATTACATGAATAATATTTTTTGATCTTATTGACATAATAGATAAAACTGAACTGGTTATTTGAATAAAATTTTAATTTGATATTCAAATGAATCACCCATACAATCTGTATGATGCATCTTTGCCAGCGCAGTAGTAGTTTATTGATGCCGTTCTTGAAGGAATCTACTGGACGAGTAAAGAACGGAGTCTGTTGGCGCAAGGTCTAGTCAGTACGGCCAATGACGGAGAGCTTCCTACCCCAGCTCTTGTAACTTGGAGACCGTCTGTTATGCGGTATGAGGTCATACGGGGACGAGCGATTGACCGGAGTTGGTTGGAGACGTGCAAGCTTCTCCATCACTATGTACAGTTGTGACAGTTGACAGCCCTACAGACAAAATTTTATTTTCTATGGAAACACGTTCCTATTTTTCACTAATATTTTGCACTTTCCCCTTTTTTTCAATATTTGGGTATAATATATATACAACACGTAACATAATTAACCCACTTATATTCAAAATCGTTTACTGAATCGATTCCTATCATTTTTAATACACACTAAATCTGTACAGTCAAAACAAACTGAAATGGACCGTAACTTAAGGCAATAAGACTTTTAACCTTTTGAGCGCCACGCCAAAAACTCACTACCGTGTCCTGTACGCCAAAGCGAAAAGTAAACAAAAATACCTACGAAAAAAACAGTGCTGCCAAGAGTTGATATATCGATAACACAAAATAACTTGTTTTTGTTGGTTTTTTATACAATAAATGACTTTATAATCGGGTATGTTTTATTTAATCTTGTGCTGTCTTCCACTCTTTTTATATATGTACTTTGTACATAAATAAAAAACAAACAATAACAATAAAATAGTAGTAAACCACAACACTACTCTCCGTCGTGATGACGTCACTGTCACGACTGGACGACAACGGCGTAGCTGACCTTTCTTTTTGAAACTTTCTTAGAGATGTAGCCGTGTCGCACGTTGTGTATAGATTTCAAAATCGATGTAACCAAAATTTACAGACATCTATTCAAAATATTTTATGGCAAGGCGTAGGCCAAGTGAATCACAGAAGAAAAGTCTTACGCTCTTATGATAAAGGGGGTTTCATATGATACTGATGTTGCTAAATGATTTTGAGATTGAGAAAGAAAATCGCACAACACAAAATGAAAATTGCTCTTCATACCTTAAGTAAAGAAAACACATTTATTATTTGTAATTTTATATTATTAAAATAGAAAAGGTACGTAATTATTCACTAATCAACAACTGTATATAGGTAATTATTCGCACTAGAAAAATCAGTCTTATAATATTAAAATCTTGGTCATGGAATAAAAAAATCAGTAGGGTCACCTGTCCAACATTGAGCCAGTAGTACACAATGAAACAATGCTATATTTCAAAAATGCGAAGTTGCCAGATAGTGCACAGTACATGTAAAGACGCGGCCCCAAGTCCCCTCCCACCGCCCCAGTTCGCGACTGCGGCGCGTGCGAAGCAGACGCGTGGCGGTCATTATACGGATTTTACGCAAAAAAAGTAAGATTTTTTAATAATATTTGTCGATTTTTCATTATTATATGTTAAAGTTTGCTTTTTTTCTTAATATTGCTTGACATTGTACGTATATTACAGATTTCAGTTACGTACAAAACATACTTGATTGTTTTTATTTTACATGTTTAATTCAAGGTTTTAGAAATATGTCACATATAGTACACAATGAAACGAAACCCCGTTGTACACAATGAGCCATGTTTCATTGTGTACGAATCGTGTTTCATTGTTTGCCATGTGGCTCATTGCTAGTGTTTATGTTTTTTATTATATCTACACAAATAACCTACTAACATTTTTTTCTTTTGTTATACGTTTTCTTTTAGTTAAATATTTACTGATGCATTGTAATTTTTACTTTTTGTTTTAGATGGCGCGCACTAAAGTTAATAAAAGAAAAAAAGGTAACCACACTGCTGATAACATGCTTCAGGCTATCAGACATTATAGGCAAGGATGGAGTATCAGAAAAGCAGCTAAAGAGTATAATGTATGCTATCCAACACTGCAACGTTACATTAAAAAAAATGTAAATGTTAGTACTGCGGATTTACACAAGCAGCGATTGACACCCAATTATGATGTCAACAAAATATTTACTAATGAACAAGAAAAATCACTGACAGAATATATCAAAGAATGTGCGTTAAAATTTTATGGGTTATCCACTAAAGACGTTCGAAGCCTTGCTTATCAAATGGCAACTATTAATAATATTAAAACTCCTGATAGTTGGAATCGTGAAAAAATGGCAGGCCTTGAATGGCTTCGGTCATATAGATCAAGGAATCTGGATTTATCCTTGAAAAAACCAGAATCCTGCAGCCTTGCTCGTGCCACCGCTTTTAACAAAGACACAGTTAAGATGTTTTTTGATAACTTAAAGAACGTTATGGAACGCCACCCATCTTTTGGAAATGGCTGTAGAATCTACAATTTGGATGAAACTGCTACTACAACCGTTCAGAAGCCGCTAAAAGTTATAGCACCTAAAGGGCGCCAGAATATTTGTAAAATAACTAGTGGAGAGAAGGGTACATTAGTGACAACATGTGCTATTGTCTGTGCGTCTGGGCAAGCCTTACCTCCGGCGTTAATTTTTCCAAGGAAGAACTTAAAGGATTATATGATGACTGGCGCCCCTATTGGATCCCTCGGACTTGCTAATCCAAGTGGGTGGATGAACGCAGAGTTGTTTATTGAAGTAATGAAGCATTTTATAAAACATACCTCTGCAAGTTCAGAAAATTCAGCTTTATTAATCATGGACAATCACGAATCCCATTTAAGTATTGAAGCTTTGGACATGGCGAAACGTTCTGGAGTGACAATCCTTACATTACACCCCCCACACAACAAGTAAAATGCAACCTCTTGACGTGGGCTTAATTGGTCCCTTCAAAGCCTATTATAATAGTGCCGTAGATTCATGGTTAATGAGAAATCCCGGAAAACAGATGACTATATACAATATCGCCGAGTGCGTAGGATACGCATATGCAAAATCAATGACGCCAGTTAATATAACCTCTGCTTTTAAAAAATGTGGTATTTTCCCGTTCGACGCAGACGTTTTTAGCGAAATTGACTTCATGCCATCTGCTGTTACTGATAGAGACCAACCGGAAACGTCATCTGCGAAATTAATGGCTGCACCTTCTGAACAATTAAACGACAGAAAGAATCTTGTTAGTCCATCATCAGATATTACCTGTGCTCATAGTCCAATACTGTTTGAGGAAAACCCTTCTGAAGATGTTGGAGGTAATAATACTGGAATCCGGAGTGCTGAAAGTCCATCTTTATTGGAATCTACTACTCCTGAACACATTATGGCTCTTTTTGAAGCACAAAATTCTCAAAGTCCATCTTCAATTATGCACGAAGTTCTGAAAGATACAGGCGACCGGACATTTAAATCACCTAAAGAATTTATGCTGCCCTTAAAAAGTGGACCACGAGCTGGACGTCGTAAGCCGAGAAAACTAGGAAAAAGCATGATTGCTACGGATACGCCAGAAAAGAATCAGATAGCTGAAGAACGAAAAAAAACACGAGACAAGAAGTCTGCGGCAAGTGCAATTAAACGACCTATACTGCAAGACAAAAATTTCGAAGAACCAAGGAAAAAGAAGAAAGCAAAGAAGGTTGTAATTCCATCAGATCCTGAAACAAGTGAAGAGGAAAATTTTGAGGTTATAGATTTGAGCGAGTCTGATATAAGTGGTAGAGAGGATGAAGATGAAGATCTTGATGCTGACAATTTACCTATGGTAAACGAAAACTTTCGAGAACTAGAAAGAAAGCCTAAATTTAATGATTACGTATTGGTATCATTCAATACTAAAAAAGATAAAAATATATTATGCTGCAGTAATAACAGAAGTTTTGAACTCTGAGACCTACGTAGCGTCTTTTATGAGACTTATAGTAAAAGAGGATATGAAATGTAAATACTACATGCCATTAGAACCGGATTTTGCTGAAGTGAATATTACAGATATTAAAATGATTCTACCGCTACCAAAAATAAATGGCACAAAAACCCGAAACTCTACTTATGTTTTCCCACTTCGCATGTCACCAAAGTTAAATTTGCGATAGTAATGTCATTGACTAGCTATGATGTTTATTCGTTACAGTTTTCTTTACTATAATAGTATTACTTATTATGAGACTGATTGTTATTATTTTTTGTTGTATTTTTTAGTGTTTGATACTATTTTTTTAACTATTAAAATGTTTAAGTTTCTCTTACTTTAATAAAACTCACTCAAAATAAAAAAATGTTCTGTATTTTTTTTAATATAACAAAAATAAACTAATAAAACGAAGGTTATAAATAAAAAGCACTGTTTTATTAATGAAATTACCAAATTTATTGCAAATAGTACAAAATAATAAGTACATTGGATCCTGGCTCATTGTTAAATATAGCTAGGCTCATTGTGTACTCACATAAGTACACAATGGATCATTTCCCATTTTTTAAAAAAACCTTAGTCATGATATATCTACAAATGTTTTAAGAAAAAAAAATTATGCTAATCTGTAGCCAATTAAATTTGCTATCTTCGCCTAAAAACTTACACTTAATATCTTAAGAAACAGCGGAATTATTAAGTTTTAAAATTTAAGTGGCTCATTGTTGGACAGGTTAACCTACTTATTACAGAAATCAACAAAGGGTACATAATTATTCAACAATTGTAAATAATTATTTGCACTAGGTCTAGTCATAAAATATTAAAATCTTGGTCTTTAACTCAATCAGTACTTAATATAGAAAACGACAATTAAAAATATTAATAAATTATAGGTAATATTAGTCTTAAAATAATAAAAATCTTATGGAATAATAAAACATAAATGTTTAGCTGGCCAAAGCAAATTTTCTAACGTGGTAGAGCCATGCTGCAGTTATATTACGGGAGTTAGTAGTTGTAGCACGAATGGGTCGGCTCAACCGGGGGAAGAACCACGCTCTCACGGAATATCGGCATCAAATAGTAGCTTAATGCTGCTGTGTTTCGTATGGTAAGTGTAGAGAACCGGAGACCCTCTTTACTGGAAACGAGGCATTCCATCTAAGTCCTCACGGGTGAGAGCGCATCTGCATTTTGATTCGTAATCGAGGATAGATGTAAATGTCTATGGGCCACAGCAACCACTTACCATCAGGTGGACTGTGTGTTCGTTTATTACCCTATGCTATAAAAAAGAAATTAACCGTAAAAAGACTATAAAGTGTATTCCTACCTCATTGAGGTAGAGTTAATCGAAAACGAAAAACTTTGGTTTCACGATAATTTTAAATTTCCGAAAATTCATCATCGTTGACGCTTTCCAAAATCCGAATGAGTTCTGAGGAATCGTTCATGTTGCACTGCACTAATTTTCCCGCTAATCGCTTATGACGTCATCAGTGTGTCGTCTATACTTGACCACGGCGCCCAGTGAACTGATTTTCGATGTCGCGCTAAGGATGCGCCAGAGTTGAGATATTAGATTTATTATGCGAAGATAATTTGTTAATTTTTTTTTAATTCATGTAGCTAATTATAGTTTTATATTTCTAACCTTTTGTTTTATTTAAATATCAATAATAATAGAAAAAAATAACACGTTTGAGCTTAATTTTGAATAGTTTTCAATAAATTTATGGCTAACGCATTACAACACTAGCGGTCTAACATAGACGACTTTGGCGTGCTGGACATAGTATTTGCTTAGATAAAAATCCATTTTTTTTAGTTCAATGTTTCTTAGTACTTGTGGCTCTAGAAGACTTGTTTTTTATACTCACATGTTGCTGGGTTATTCTTTTTTGAGGGATGTAGAATTAAAATACCAGTAATAATTTTCCAATGTCTATATTTCATATTTTTGTGGGCCGGGTTTTTTGTCATCTATAGACGACTTTGGCGCTCAAAAGGTTAAGAGTGCAGTTTTATTTGTATTATTATTAAATCTGTCATTCAATAAAAATAAAGAAAAATGAACTTTATTTCAAGCACGTTAAAGTCTTTGCGTTCGTGGATTTGTACTATGACTACAACGTTCTTCAGGAATTAGTATAACTAATTTGATAAATAATCAGTATAGTAGTTATATATATATATATATATATATATATATATATATATATATATATATATATATATATATATATATATATATATATATATATATATTCGGATAAAGAAGGAAGATTCAATGATGACAATAGCTCGTTTAGTTGCGAATTTCCCGCGCCTATTTCAATCATACCTGCGACTGCACATTCATTTAATGATAAATAATTTTCACTACAATCATCGTTTACTATTACAAATTTCTGGTTACATAATTGGCATTTAAACGTAAAATTTGACTCTAAGCCTTTTGTGTTTCTCCGATAAGTTGTAGTTCGGTGAAGCTGCAACCTAATGGACTATGATTTGAAATCTTTATGAAAAGAAGTGGCTGATGACAATTATTATTCTTCTTATTATTTTTTCATTACTGCCTTTTTCAACCTCACAAGATATTTGTAACTGCAAAAAAGAAAACTACGTATAAGTAAGTAAATCATTAATATAGTGTTATGTATGATTCAGACTAAATAAAGGTTCCTAAATATAGACGTAGATAAAGAAATTGCATAAAAAATTACTTAAATAAAAATGCAATAAACTTGTTAATTTTATAGATAGTAACATATTAAAATAATAGGTTTTTTAGGATATTGATGTAAAACATAAAGGTTATATTATGTTCTACGTTCACGCTTGCGCATATAAAACCGCGGAATTTCACAAGTTTTATTATCAAAATAATAATTGACAACCCTACCCTAAGTTTGCCTTGATTTTACCAACTCAACTCATTTTAGAAGATCAAAACATAGAGAGAAAGATAGGAGACTATTTTTTATTTAATATGGTTCATCAAATCCGTAAAAATAGTTTAAAATACTCACACAATAAAATTTTGAAGTGCAAGTAAAATATCTGCGACCAACATTTGCTCAATTCTGACGTTCACAGACGTTTCACAACTTTTTGCCAGAACCAAAAGTAAGCGCTGGCATGCGACAAAAATCGTACCATAAATAAAATAAAGTCTCTAGGTCGAGGGGAGAGGAGCCGTGGTGCTCAGATGGTTAGCGCTCGCTGAAATTTGCACAGTGCGCGAGCAAACCGGGTTCGATCCCCGCCGGCACCAATGAAATTATAATTGCAATTTTAAGTGTTGATTTACCACGTGCTCAGCGGTGAAGGAAAACATTGTGAGGAAACCTGCATGTCTGAGAAATAAGAAAAAAAATATTTCGAAGACATGCGAAGTTCGCCAACACGCATTGGGGCAACGCGGTGGACAATTCCTTGCCCTAGGACCCTTTCAGAAATGAGCGGAGGCCTGTGCCCAGGAGTGGGACGTATATAGGCTATAACTTTAACTCTAGCTCGAATAGCCTACTAATGAAATTCAAATGATCGGTTTAGGCAAAGTAAGGCTAGGTAAGTCAAATTAGGACATTTTACAGTACTTATTTAGATATCTTTTACCTAATCACAAGCGCAAGTGTGTACCTAATCACAATACCTACTAAAGTATTTTGATTAGGTAAGTACAAATGTGTGCACCATAATATCTACAAACTAAAAAATTAAATAAACAAACCTCTACATCTTCAACCATTTCAGTTGAATCAAGACAGTTTATACTGAATTCTATGGTTTCTTGACTCAAGTCGTTTACTGCCGTATCGTCATTGTTCGTATTTAGCCTGCAATAAAGAATAAATAATATTAGATCTTGCATGACAACAAAACGGAATTACTTGTAATAAATCATTTAGATCGTAGATGGACAGACAGC